AAAATACCATTTATGGTAGGCAAGATTAACTACTAACTTCTTAGTATAAGGTACTCAAGATACTTACATATATAATAAATTTATGTTATTAAATAACGATATAAAGAGATACAAAATATAGCTTATTTTGCTTTATCTTTTGCTTTCTCCTGCGAAAACCACTCATTATATGCATTTACTAAGGATTTGTATGTCGGTGACTGTCTCCATTTTTTGGATTTTATATTTTTAATATCAACCGTATCATTGTGCATATTTTTCATAGTATCGAGTATCACAGATGGTTTATCTTTAACGAATTTAGTCATTTCCATTAACGTTGTAGGTTTCGACTCCTTCAACTGTTTTTTTCGCTTCTCATATTCGCTACGTTTAATACGCAAGAAACATGTCGATTTCTTATCCTCAAACGTGTTGATATCACTCACAGTAATCCAACCAATTCCCATTAAAAAGGACTTTATGAACTCCTCGCCGTCTGGATTGCCAAGATATTCATAGATATTGAAACCTACATCGTATGGTGGACAACGATAATAATATTCTTCCTTATCTACAGTCGCCATAAAATCGGTCGCTAAAAAACTTAAGAAATCTTCTGCAGCATGAAATTTGTGAATATGTGACTCTGATGGCAAACTGCAAAGACCGACATAAATGGAACTAGCGTCAGAACAATTTGTACTAAATTCGACAATATCACTGATTGTACGGCCTAAAACAGCATGATACGTCAGTGTATATGGCTTCAACGGAAATTGATAGATAGGCTTATTTTCTGGGAACTGCATATGTTCCAACCAAGTACGATAAGCTGGTAAAATTTGGTAATAATTCAGTTCTTCACGTTCAATTGTATGCCTATTGCCATCTGCGTAACGAATAACTAACTTTGCCAAGGTAGCAGCAACAAAAATCATTTCTTCTAATACAACGATATGGTGAACGCCTGCACTAGTGACATAAAAATATTTAAAACCTTTTACCAAAAGCAATCCTGGAAAAAATTTGTATCTTTCTTGAATTTTCTCGTCGAAGTTGAAAGGCACCATTGGAAACGACTCCACCCGAAATTGATTTAGGCCCGGATTCTTCATAAAACGATACAAACGTTGTGTGATAGTATGGTGAAATGGAGCCATGTAAAGAGCAGCAAAATTTTCTTGAATTCTTGGATCGAATTTGTTTCGAAAAAGACAGTAGAGAAAGTAACGTAAATTAAAGTGAAACGGAACAGTTTTTTTAGCTTTGTAGCTAGCGATCATGTCACGAAAACATGACACTTTTTCTAAGAAATTCTTGTCATCGGAACGCAAATTAGCAGTTAGCTCGTTTATCGTCACATCATTAAATACCTCAATCAAATCGAAATTATTACTGTTATGGAATTCTGAACAAGTACTAATGGAACTTAGCTGCAGTTTGTTACCGGCGAAAATTAAAGTTATTTTATGCTTTAACGATACTATATACAACAACAATAACATGAATGGTGAAACTATAGTGTACGCGTCTAAGATAATAGCTTTTACCATATCAGAAATGTACACATACTTCGATGCGTACGTAATGAGCTTATAAAGAATGTCAATGTTAGTTAGACCCCTAACGTTGAACATCATTAGCGCCTCATGATAATTTAGTTTAAAATTACGCATGTTGTAGGAAACGTACGTGTACGCTGAGATCTGTTTTAATGAAAGCTCGCTCGCTTGATCTCTTCTGAATACAGCATACTGTGTTGTTTCATCGTAACACTTTGCTAAGGAAGATAGAAGGTGACTTTTGCCTGTTCCGCTCGGCGCGTCGATCAGGATGATTTTGCTCACTTTCTGGTCAATTATTTCATGCAATATGTGGTACACAGCCATTTGAATATTTGATAATGGTTTATCTGCTTTCACACAGGTCATACATTGGTCATATCTTGCATTAGCATTTGGAGTCTCAGTTAATAATGCTAGTGATTTCACTTTTCCTATCAAGTCGTCCACGCTGTCTGTTAAGTCTGTTACGTCGACACCATCAAGTGGAGGGTAACACAGCGGAAACAAAGAAGTGTACAGATTAAAGTAGAAAAATTCTTATTATATTACAACATAATATAAAAAAAAAGATTAGTACAGATAGTAGATCGACTGATAACTATAAATTTTTACCTTTACTAGTCACATTACTCGTCATGATGATTTCAGTCATTTATTGAATTCAGCGATCTGTATGCCCACGCTTTAGTCGGCAATTGTATCTGCAATTACAAAGATCAAGTATGTCCTTTGAATTAACTTTATCTATACTAGTTATCATAACATTCACTTTATCATTTCATTTTTGTACCGCAACAGTTGCTGATGAGATAAGAGAATAATAGAGTATAAAAATGTATTAAAAGTGTATTATGTGTGCTACAAATAAAATTATTTATGGGCCTAAATAGATCAAAATTAACTTCTAAAGTACATATCGATCGATAAAATAAATTGTTAGCATGCGAACACGATTCTTATTTTCCTTCTTAAAAAACCTAAACGTCTTTTTGGTCTAACTTAAATACATCTTCGACTTCTCCACGAAATTTGACTCGTGTACACGACATATCTATGAAACTAAATCTGCTGTGTTCTAAACAAATAATAATAATGAATCTTGTTTTATAATAAATCAGTCTTATGATCTTATGCATTGTTATTGGTTATGCATGCTTTTGTATAAACTTCGGATCTGTGACAGTGTTATGATATAAGGTTTGATGATTTTCTATCTCCACGCCGTCGGCGGTGGAGAAACGAACCTCAGCTTGTGAGATCACCACTCTATAGAATAAATATGTATTGGTAGATTTACTCTACTTCAGCGTTTTTTTCATTTAAAATTACCCCAACCTCTCAATGACTTTAATGCTTTCACATCGCAAAGAATATAAAATTTGATCAAACTTTATATTTTATTAAACTTTTCATACTTGTATTTGCAATAGGTGTATAAATCTGCCGACTACTTATGAATGTCCGAAATGGTCCGAAATGGTCCGAAAAGAAAACCGGTGATCATGTTTCTAATATATAAATTCTTTAAAATTACAAAAATTACAGACAAAATTGCTGTCCATCGAAGTAAGAAAATAAATTTAGGATTTCTATGGTTACCTTAGATTCGTTATTGATATCGTAGAAAAATAAAACAAAAAAATTCAGCACTTCTTTTGTTAATGTTGCTGCTCTTCTTCTAAATATGGGTTCACTAACAGTATTAATAAAGGTTTTGCTATTGTAACGTCGTTCAGGAACCTACATTACACTGAGGTTAGGCACTGAATGTTTACGGATTATATTATTACGTTGCATACAACACGGAGAAAGGGAAAAACCAAAGGCAATCTGGGGAATTCTCGGAATATGTAGTACACATACACCAGGAAGAATGATCACTGCTCCTATTACCACTCTGAATACCACGTTTTGATTGTAGGGATTTCTTGAAACAAAATTAACTAGTACATGTTTACCGATCTACGAATATTAAAAATATAAAACAAGTGAACTTTACTTTTGCAAATGTACCTTTTGTTTTATAACAGAACTAAGCACGCGAATTTATTTTGAACAGAACGAAAGAAGAACAGCCCACAGGAATAAAACTTTCAGCACAGAGCATTCCTTGTGCTTTCACAAACAGTTCTGCATGCGTGGTTGGCGAGACTGCATGACTGAATGGATCACGGTATCTGATGTGAATCATGCCGATAGAATATATATATAGCACAGTATGTAACTTTACTCTAACTTATCGGGGAGAAACTTTATCTCATTGTCAGATTAAGCGAACTTCGTAGTAAAAATATGAATGACAAATAATATTGAGTTCAACAATCGAAAAATGTGAACATGTGCCTGTATATTTTATCAGAATAGAAACAAAATGTATACATATCTTGACTGTATTTTGAATTTTACTCATAAGTCGTGAGTCATATTTTTTATTTATACAGTGGATGTAGAAAGCATTCGTACACCTTTTAAAACGGAATAACCTTTTTATAATTAGACTAAACGGTCTGAATTTTTGTGAAACTATTAGTGGGATTAGTTTACTAGAAAATGACTAAAAAATTGTTTTCAAATATTGCAATTGGTTAGCGTGATGAAAGAATTAGAAAATGATGTTTTCTCAATTTTTTTATCAGTAGTTAGATCAAAAGATAAATTTTCATTTACCCGCCATTGAACACACTATATTATGTTTTTATTGCATGAAGTTTCATAGCAACTTTTTTTTTATCGACCAGTAGCTTCCTGATTAGTTCACTATCACGATTTTCATACACAGTGTCTGTAATTTTTCAATCTTCGATTTCAAGTACATTTAAAGTCTTTGAAATATCTATGAACATTTTAAACCAAATAAGTTTTATTTATATTATTGCAATTCATATTAAAAGTCAATAGAAAATCTAAAACTTGTTCGTATTATCTATAATTTAGCAAGTATTTTAAACGGTAGAAATTTGTAGGCACTCTGTATGTATAGAACGTAGAAATTGTCACTTATCGTTACTAAGAAGCACATAATGTTACAAGCAAGCACTGGTAGGCAGGCATAGATTGACTTCCAAGAATATATACGTAGACTTTGATATTATTACTATTTTTACGATAGAATGACGATTAATCTTTAAAGTTAATCAACAAAACAATTGCAATATAAACTTAATAAAAATCTTTTAATTTATATACAAAATTATATAAAAACAGTAGATTTATTATTCTTCATCTGAGCGTATAATGAAAATTTAAACAATGCAATTTCTGGCCTCGATAACTTATATGCATGCTGATTCTAGTATACCAACCAGCGTTCAAAGAATTACAATTTATCGAGTGGATTTTCGATAATAACGTTTATTCTTTTCGAATTAATTAAAAAAGAACAATAGTTTAGAATCGATAAACCTTTCGTAGACTAGGCGACTCGAGGTTTCACAGCTAATGACAGTGCATATCCTGTTACGTCAATGAAACTGACATCTGAGTTACGTTGAACATTATTTGATAATGAAGGATAACATTCTGCACGTATTGCTTACAACTTCATTACTTACAACGTTCTTTTAGTTCAAGTACTTATAAATGGCATGAGTCGCGATCAAAATTTCGTTAAACTCATTTTTTAGGGATTCCAAATTATTTAAAAGTATACTTTTTTTTATCAAAGTATGTATGAAGTGTTCGAAAATGTTATTGCAATTCAAGAATGAAGAATATATAGTTTAAATAAGTTTACTTATTACCTCATAAAATTCAACCACACGTATGTGTAAGAATGGTATCATTGTGAAATATAACGGTTTTGTCACGAGGAAATAAGCGTTCTGACATCGCTAATATCGATTACATTGTCCGACACGATTTTTGATTTCCTATAGCCATTGTGAAATTCTTGTAGAGCTTCATTCCCCGAACAAGAATCCGAAAACCGAATTGCTCCATCACCCTCAGTTTTCGAAAAAAACGAGCTATTGTTGAACGATAGAGGTATGAAACTAGTAATAAAATATTCAAATATTATTTTTACAAAGTGCCCCATTGGATCCCTCCATCGGTGTTGATTACGCATAGCTTCGGTCCTGCTGAACCGAGAGAAGCGAGCAACGAAGCACATGGCGACAGAACGTCGTGCACGCGTTACCGATGAATATTTTCTCGGCCTGCTCGAAATGTAAATCGTTTCAACACTTCTATCGGGCCGTTTCTTCTTCAGAAATGTTTACAGAATCCGATCTTGGGTAGAGTCTTTGTGCTGGACAAAAAACTTTTCGTAAAAATACAAAAATATTGCGAAGAAACTACGCATGTCGACACTTTTTTAAATATTGACATTAATTTATAGTTATTTAGAACCAAAAATAATTAATATATTGTATGCCACTATATTTGGGAAACTCTCCTCTGCCTTTTAAGATCGATTAGAACTTTCTAACGTTTTTACTTTTCATGCAATACCGCATTTTTGTCGAAAATTTTTGGGTTTTTACGAAAGCTCGCTTTTTTCGAAAACTGAGGGTGATGGAGCAATTCGGTTTTCGAATTCTTCTTCGGAAAGTGAAGCTCTACAAGAATTTCATAATGGCCATAGGAAATCAGAAAAAAAGTTTGATTTTATCGAACAGTGTTATCAGGATGTTAGGTTTTAAAAAAAAACGCGTTCGGGGCTCACTAGCCTTCTTTGTTTTATCGATCGATATGCTTTTGACCGAGTGGACGACGAGACACTCTTCATCAAGCTCATGTCGTGGTTAGTCGCCTAGGTGATAGACGACCCTGTTATTTACGTTTGTGGCCTTTTATGTTTCTTTCATATATAATTAAATGTCAGCATCAACGTTAAACGTGTCCTAAACTTGATTGAATCCTATCCCATGCCAGTTATCTATCCTTGATAACCTCACATATGAAACATTTGTAGTATAAGGTTTGCTTTTGAGAAACTTGTACAAAATATATAGGATTCTACAGAGATTATTCCTGTGACACATTGTACCTAGTTCGAGGTTCGTTTCGGTGACTATATTTTTTATTGCGAAAGACGTACACATATTGCCTCGTAAGAAATTCATGGTACAAATGGAGAAGTTCTACGGAACAAAATAGGACTACAATTGAGAACAACGAAACTGCATGAGAGGCTACGTTTTCGAGTAAAGTATATTTGAAAATCAATCGGGTATGCACGTGCTCAACTTTCGATTTAGTGAACATTGTCTAAAGAACTTGCTGATAAATTGATCTTGACTTCGAAAACACGTCAGGAATTCAAATTCATTACGAGGATCATTGCTAGAAATAAAATCATGGCTCACAAGTGGCCTGTTCTCTCGAGAAACGATGTTCTACTTAAAATAAGTTTTATACCTGTTTATTTATAAAACGTTTCAATAAAATAGTGAAATACATTTGAAATGAGATAAACATATAGCAGACGAAAGATGTAGCATAATATGAAACAGTAGGAAGCTGCACATTGAATTTAAAAATAACGCATATATGTATATATATAGATTCTCGGTGAGAAATAAAGGAAAGCGAAGCTGATAGTTATAAAACGGGTCATTCGCGATCCAAAGTTCTTTTTCGAAGATTGGCTCTTGTAATGAGTAGAACAGGATGTTAGCCAAAAGTTTTGATTTTCTGACCACTAATTTTCACTTTCATTTTTGCCAAAAGTTTTTGGTCTTTATGTAAAAAATGGTGATGATGTACATTTTTCTTTATAAATGTTTTAGGTTTTTCGATGGCGGTTGACTATGTTGAGCTGCATGAACCGAGACATTTCAATCGGCCATGTTTATTCTCCGCTGCGTTACTAATCATAGATTCTATTTATCCTTTTCTATATAATTACTATGAATGTATACTACTCTTGATTAAAGTAAAAAGAAAAAAATGATCTTCCGGAGTTGGTAAATCCCCTCAATTTTTCCTCGCGTTTTTCACGGATGAAATTTTTTCGATTCGTATTAATTGTTTAATAAAATACTAGTTTCCGCGGCGGTAGATGCACTTCCCTATACATAGAATATAGTGCCCAGTTGAGTGAAAAGCTTAGAATCTTATCGCGAATATTATCTGTGGAGATAGAGTTTCAAAAATGACTGACTATGTACTTTGTGTGTTCAACTCACTAGTGTCTAAAAGTGTTAGGCTTTAAAAGAGTAAAGTGAAAAACACTGACCAAAGAATATGTATAATCTCGACATGCTAATCTTCATAAAAATTACGCAGAACTTTATAAATATATAATTGACATAAGCATTCTCATTTTATTGACAACTATCCGCATTGAAGAATTAAAAACAACCAATAAAATTGCGGTACAAATTAATTTTCTTCATTGAAAA